ATTTTATTATAATATTGGATTAATATATTTCCCAAAGAAAAAGTTTCTATGGGACTTCATATTCTCAGGGACTGTGGAACTTGTAGGTGGGAGGAAAACACTGTAAAAGTGACCATATTTAAATTCAAAGTGATAGCAGATTAGAGAGTGGTTTAGCCACCAAGCTGTAGCTATCTCACTAAGGGCCTTTAATCAGTTCCACCCTTCAGCCATTTCTTTGGACTCATGGCAGATAATATTTCCTCACAAAAGATGATGCCCCCAGACCAGATCTGCTCCTCTCTTGACACTTAAAATGCTTGAGCGGGTGCTGGTGTGGGAGGCAGCAGCTTTTTATCCGGAGCTATCCCTAAGAGGGAGAATTACAGGACGGCACAGTCAGCACAGCATGCTAATTTCCATTTTCCCTGTTCTCAAGTGCAATGAGTGTTTTTAAGTTTATGATAATGATTTATTGAGGAGGCTTTTAAAACTCAGATAGTTTTTTGTCCTATGCCAGACTGAAACAAAGCAATATTATTTGTGAGATAAATGCTAATCATTCATTAGTAAAACTTTCTGCTACTTTCCAAACCCTGTTGGCTTTGCCTCAGCCGATGGAATGTGTACATTTGGATTTATAAAAGCAGAGAGTGTTTTTGACTATAGGAAATTTCTTTTAGCACTTAAATAGCAAATCAAGACAAAATAAAACTTCTTGCATTGTCTCAATTTCAGAAAATTGTAAACAGCTTCTTTTTTTCCCCTTTCTCATTTTTTCAGCTTTTCATAGCAGCATAAATAAAGCTGAAGTGTTTGCTGCTTGGTTTGTTGGTTTTTTGGGGTTTTTTTTTGGTTTTTTTTTTTAATGGAGACTTTACAGCCTGGTAAGCAAAGGAGTTCCTGAATTAACTCCATTCAGCAATCTACTGGCACTGAGACTGCTCAAACACCACATTCTGCTCAAGTCTACACTCTTCGTGTTGCTTCTTAAAACTAGACATTTTGCATTCCTTTTTGTAGCCAAAGAGCCCTTGTGCAGATTTATCTCAATACTGGGAATCCTCACAGAGTTTTAGTCTCACCGAAGCTGACAGACAGACACCCCTTTACTGACTATGGACAAGCTTTGGATCAAGACATGTTGAGCCCCAAGTCAGAGCTGTGGCTGGGCAGACAGATTAACCTCTTTTCGTGGAAGGGAGCGTGACTCAGTACAATGAGCAGTCAGCTGTTGCCTGCCAACAGGCAGAGCTGTCCTTTTATGAAATTTAAATTGATTGCCCCTTAAACACACCAGATTTGGAGAAGGCTGCAGAATTGGGTTGCTGCTGTCCATGTATTCTCCTACATGGCAATCAGGAAGGTGAAGAGGAATAAGTCTTATATCTCCAGACTTCTTACAGTTCCTAAAGCAACGAGTAGCAGCAGTGATTTGTCAAGTTTCAGTGCAGTTCCCCCTCACTGCCCTCCTCACCCAGTTCTTGCCAGAGGCAGAGCTGGCTTGCTGCAGTGACAGCAGTTCTGCCCAGACAGCAAACTTCTGAGAGCAATGAGCTCATGGAAACTCATGACATCCAAACCCTCATTTCCAGCAAAGTTGATGCGTGCAAGGTGCCAGCCCTCACTACAATTACAGCAGTGTCTGTCTGTCTGTTCTCCTGGAGCACAGGAGCACTGTTTGTGCAGGGACAGGTAATTTAACTTGCTGTGCTAGCTTGTCTCTACTTCTTTGCTTTTTTGATAACTTATTTTTGAAGGTACTTACAGCATGACAAGATAACCTATTTTACAGAATATTCCAGAAGTATCACAGAGAGCCACTGAGAGTGTACACACAGCTACTCAAACTTACCTGGTCAAAACTTCATATGCACATTAAAAATTCTTGAGTGTGTTAAGATTACTTAAGCATTTTGTTCAAATACTATATTTTAAGATGGATATACCATTTTGTGATCACAAAAATATGACTGAATCCATGCTTAAAATATTTTCATTAATTTTGATGGGTCTACAACAACATTACACTTGATCACAAGTCTCCAAACTCAAAATCTGAATGTCTCTCCATCAGCACTTTGCAGTGACAAAGAAGAGAGAAAACCCTCACATTTTTTTCCAGTCACTGCTGCCTTTGTTACTTAATTTCACTGCAGCTTTAGATTACTTTTCAAGTAATCAAAAGATTACTTTTCTTTTGAAGGTAGCATGTATAATTATTTGCTGAGCTAGATGCTAACAGCACCTATCTGGCCTCAGACATGTAATAAAGTTGTGCTCTTAAATCTTCACAAATCATTATTTAATCCTAACCTTACAATTAAACTCTAGCTGTGTGTTCTGTGTTGCTGGCCCACCGCCTTTCTGCTTTAGAGCAGCCCCTGATCTGTGCCAGCGAGCTTGTTGTTGAGGTCACTTCCAGTGTGGCCAGCATCTCCTCACCTGAGGGCTCACACCCAGAAAAACACTCAGTGATTCATCACTGCAGCCTGAAAAGGCTGAATTATCCACTCAGGGATTCCTAAACCATGAGTTTGCTGCTATTTCATCACGTGCTTTGCTCTGGATTATAGGCACCTTCCTTTTCCCAGCTCTTTAAACCTGATGGGTCAGCAGGTGTTTAATCCCCTCTGCTACTCATTATTTACACAGCTCCCCAGACGTGGCTGGGCTCTGTTTGTGTGTGTGGTGTTTTAATGACCCGACGGCCAAATTTCTTCACAAAGTGAATCAGGCTCTGCTGCCAAACCAGTCCTCCACCCATCAGCAAACAGAGCCTATCCATGCTGTCCTGATGCAATAACCATAAATAAGGACCATGTGATAAGAGCTTTAGGAAGAGGTTGAAAAACACAGGGACAAGATGGTGTCTGTGAGAAGCAGCCTAAACTGGAGCAAGGAAAATGCACATGCTTGCCATGCCTGTGCTAGTGCTGAACTTCATCCTCAAAACAATGTTGGTTAAGTTCCTTGTACTCTCACCCCTACAGATAGACCTGCTGAAGAAAATGACCCAGTAAACACAATTAAACCCAGAGCTGGCTCTGTATAAGTTGCCTGTGTGGAATATCTGACTGCTTTTTACAGCACAGTATAAAATCTCCGAACAAACACTTATATCAGGCATTACATGAGAATTTTTTCAGAAGGATCTTGGACTCAGAGCATAGAAGTCTTGGAAAACCTAGCCCTTGATAGCTGCTATGATGCCTGACACAAATACTTTGAAGGAAACAGCAACGATTATATAAAATAAGAATTTCTATAATTTAGATTGTAATTAGATTTACAAAAGAAAAAAATAAATTTAATGCATATCCTTGAGCAAGACACAACTTTTTTTTTCTGTTAGATCATATAGTAACTATCAAGGCTGCATCCTGCAGAGGCACTAAGAATATAACCAACACAAATCTTGAGTTTCACTCTAATGACCTACATATCTTTAATCAACCTTCACTGCTTTATCTGTATGCATCTGCTTCAGACTGGATTTATGCATAATTACAAAATAATTTATAAAAAGACCTTCAAAGAATTTCATAGTATCCTAGCATATTTAAGTATCTCAGGATCCTCCTGACTAGCAAATGACATAATTGGACTCAAACAGCAGCAAAATTCAGGATGTTTGATAAAATATTTCTTTTTCACAAGCCTCTGGAGGAAATTTAGTGTCAGATGCATCCTGAGAAGATGGATGGTATCCTGCAATTAGGAGGCCTCTATCCTGCAAAAAAGGCATTTCCCTTTCCTACCTTCTTCACTCACCAGAATGGCACTGCTTAGTTAAGAAAAAAGAATTGAGAGATGGGGTTATTTTTTGAACAATATCATGCTAAATTTAGGTTAATCTCCTTGTCTGCCTTAGGGCTATATGCCAGAGGGATCAGGAACTGTTATCACCACATTGCTACAGAGAGGGCAAAACATGCTGTGGTGACAGATGGATTCAGTCTGAGGCAATTTTAATTTTGCCATCCTCTGGCAGAGTGGAGGACGTTCCCTTGCACTGTGTGTAATGGACTGGCTCACCCTTTCCCCAAACAAACTGGTACAGAAGCAAGAGCTGCTGTACTGGAGTAACTCCTCTTGTTTAGTTAGGAGAATTGTGAAACTCTTTCGTGCTGAATCCAGGAACAATCCTCTTTGCTGTCCCACTACTGCTTCTGTCTAAAAAAACACACCATGGGTATTAGCATTCATCATCTTATACAGTTCCTGTACCCTTCTGCCCTGTGTCCCAAGCTGCTCATTGGAGATTGAATTTCCTGAAAACTAGTTCTTGAATCCAAATATTTTATCTTGCCACATTACATTGTAACTAGAAGGCATTCTTGCATGCTATGCAGCATTCTCTGTCAAGCCCAAATTTCAACAGATCAGACTAGTTCAAGCAGTCCAACATCCTTAAAACTGTACTTTTAACATTCCACTTTGTGTTACTTTCAAAAGAAGTGCTATATCTCCTCTGAAGTAATTCTTGCCACCATTTGCTATGGCCACTAGAGTTTGGCTGTAATTACTAAATTCAGTATTAGAAGCAGATGATTATTATTATTATTGATACATAAATGGAGCATACACCTTAAGAGTTAGATTTCCTTTTCAACTGCTGAACTGAGATGGCTTTTTTGTTTGTTGGTTTATTTAAGATACTAGAATCAGATTCATAGATATTCTAAGCCCTGAGAAGTATGCTGCTAGGAAGCATTTTCAGCTCTTTCCAAAGTCATATGACCATGATGATTCTGATGGGAATTTCTTTGGATTAAGCTATTCTGGTGTTGTGTATGTTGTGTATGCTTTGTGTTTGAAATGACATGATTTTTCTTATCTTGAATTTTTCTCTTCTGAGTTATCGTATTTCCTCAGATTTCATACTGTTACACACTTTAAAAAAAATTCCCATTATTAGGTAGAGATTACAGTGAAAACACTCCAGACAGACCTACACAAGGCCTGAAAAAACCTATCCAGTTGCACAGAGGCCAGCTGGAGAAAAGCAGCTGACTTACTGGAAAACCAGCTGTATGTGATCTTCAGAAGGATTGCCAGGGGTGACAAGAATTTCCATCTTGGATGCAAGGAAACAAAAGCAATTTGGGATAAAAGTTAGAGTATATATTGTCTGTACACTGGAGTTCCTTTAAATAGATACCAAAAGTATCAGTGTATGAGATAATAGATACTGGCACAATTAAATGCATCCTAAAAATTGTAAGTTTCCTAGTTTTGTTTAATCAAATAATTTATTTGGACCAGAACTCTAGCAATTGATGTCTTTAATCAGATTCACACAGCTGGGCCAGACAATATTTTCAGAACCATATTTTCCATTTGCTTCACATTAGTCACTTATGGGAAAAGATCAGCTTTCTGGGACTTCAGATCATTTATTCCAGGGTCATCTCTTACTGACATTGACTCTGTTTAGACAGAGGCTTTTTGACACAAATATTGTGTAAAGCACAAATATAGCATGACACTCTCAGTGACTGTCACGGAGCTGGATGCTTCTGCTAAACAAAGCCAGGAAATAGTCAAAAGCATCTCGGAATTAAAGGCAGGAGGACAACAAAGGTGACCTTTTAGTCACCTCATATTGGCAGGACCAGGAATGCAACAAATCTAGCTTTATTTGATTCAAGCACCATAATATCCTCTTATAAGTTCAAGAGATTTTTATAAGGCCTAAATTAAAATTGTAAAGCAGTAAAGTTTTTAAATTTTATATGCACATTATATGACACTGTAAGGAAACTATTTGATATTGCCATTCACTGCATTTTAAGGTCTATTGCTTTTTCCATGAGCAGCTCTCTCAAGGAGAGGATAGATTTCATTGGTGAAAGTTCCAGTCTGGACTGAAATCCGGCGTGAAACCATCCAGATTCATAATTCAAACCATCTGGATTCATAACACTAATAATATCAATCAAAAGTATGCAATGCTTTCAGAAAAGCTGTTTTCATCTAACGAGCCAACACCATAAGACATTTTCCTGTGCTGGTCAGGCTCCAAGTGGTGGCTTAGGACAGTGCCCAGAGCTCGGATGTCAAGTGGATCTCGGTGTTTTGTAGGTTCTCCAAAATCCCCCAGATTCCGGAGGCTGGAGGAGCACCCTGGCAGCACCTGCAGGTGCGCACAGGTCCTGCCTGCCAAGCCAGGAGCCCCCGGCAGCCCCGGGAGAGCGGGCACAGCCGGGGCTGTCCCCGGAGCCCCCGGCAGCCCCCCCAGGGTCACGGCACAGCCGGAGCTGTCCCCTCTGTCCCCTCCTGCCCGGCCCCGCCGGCCTCGGGCCGCGCTCCTCCGGGCAGCACAAAGCAGCTGCAGCGCAGGAGAGGATCTGGCTCTCCAGTTTGGGGCAGGAGCACACACTGGGCTCCTTCTCGGCGCGCAGGAGCAGACAGACGGGGTTGTGTTCCCCCGCGCACAAGCGAGCATTTATTCCGCCCTCCGCACGCTGCCTCTCTCCCCGCCGCCCGCCTCCCGGCTTCCCGTCTCCTCCAGCAGCAGAGAAAACACGGGAGCACCAGCCAAGGACTCGTGAGCTCCAGCCCGGCTGCTGGTATTGACTCATTGTTTGGCCTTGCTTAGTCATTTAACCTCTGTGTCCCTAGTTCCCTCCCTGGAACAGGACGAGGCAGCTGCGTTTGCCTGGGCAGTTCGGCTCTGCCCGGGAAACAAACGGGGCCGTTCGGAGAGCAGAGCACCAGCTCTCCCCGGGGCAGAGCAAAGTGCAAGGGACACAGCCTGTGCCACTCGAGGTGTGCCGCTGCTAATCTTTAACCTCCGAGAGCCGCATCCCGAGCTCCCAGCGCTCATCCCCGCAGCTGCCACAATGCGCTGTACAACGAGCTGTCTGTCCTCTGTCCTTCTGACAAGGAAATCACGGCTTACCTCTGCTCACCGACAGCGGGATCCCCTCTCAGCTCACAGGTGCTGGCTGGCTGCCACATTCCCCTTGGAAACAGAGCGCAGAAATGTAGGACAGGCCAAGCCTTGGACACAGAGAGGCGTTTGAAGGAAGGGAATTGCTCTGCTTTGGAAAGTACCCACATGTCCTTGCTAACAGCGAGGAACTTTGCAGATACCAACCATTACACCAACAAACCTACTGCATATATGAGAGGCAAGTAGTGCTGCCCAAATGGCTGAACCAACACAGCATGAAGATTTGTGTCTCTGTGTTGTTCCCTGCAGAATTTCCTCCTAGCAAAATTTTAAATTTCTGTGACCTTTGGTAAGGGTTATTCACTGCCACATGTCTCACACACAGTGTGACTCGCAATGTAACGTCATGGCTTTATTATTATTAACAACAATGAATAGTCACTTCTCTTTTTCCCCCCCTAATTTCTAGATGTTAAAATTCTGATATGGCAGCATTTCTTTCTCCGCCAAAAAAAAAAAAACCCTCAAGCCTAGAGGTTGTCATTTATCATTTGGCTTTAGGAGCTGAAGCTTAACAGAGCAATCCGATGGCTTCTGACAAAAGCCGGAAAGCTGCCAATAGAGGCACTTGCCAATATTAACAGATAAAAGATATAGGAAAACATTTCAAAACACCAGGGAAGATGTTGGAATGCTCTTTAACTGAGAGGTGTCTTTTTACATTTATCCAGCCAGGATGAAGGCAGAAGAGGGAGCTGTGCAGTTCTGGCCAAGTGGCTCCTCTAAGCAAAGCCTGAATCCTTGCCAGGGCACCAGCTGGCTAGCTGCTTTATAGCTCCTACTGCTCTTGCAAGGATGCAGCATGGAAGTGCCCAGCAAGGGGGAAACTTGGGCATGTGTGCACCCCACAGATCCCACGCTTGCAGGGCACAAACCATAGGCAGGTACAATGATGGGCTCCCATCCACCAGGCAAGGACTGTGCTGGGGGCTTGCTCCAGGGAGGAAATGCAGTTGGACTGTGGCAGGAACAGAAGACCTGACTTCCTTTTTCCTCTCCAGAAGTGGTCAGGAGTAAGTCATTTGGCCTTGGAAGGCATACTTGAACACAGCAACACTCAAATGCTTCACAGCAACTCTTCAAAATAATTTAAGCACCAGACTTACTTAAATGCCAGCAGTCCTACAAAACCTGTCAAAGCAGGTAGCAGGTGCCCTTTACTACCTTTGCACGCTTGTCTTTACCGGCTGGGTATGACTGTGCTGGTGTAGAACCAAAGGCACAAGCAATCCATCTCCAGGACTTGAAGGGAGGTTGTGGAAGCGCCCAGGCATACCCTCACCTCAGCCCAGGCCACAGGCAGGCAGAGCACAGCCAGGGTGCAGTGTGCCATGAGGAGGTGCCAGCACATATCCTGGACCAGGACATGTGCAAAGCACTCAGATGTGACAGTGACAGCTCCTGAAGCAGCACCTCAGACAACAGTAACAGCCCATACTGATGGATAAATATCCCAAGGCAGCTGCAGCTCAGGGAATTGCCATGGGGGAAAGCTCATACACTGAAGCGTAGAATCCTGTACTAGGTCTTGTAAGGTCCCAGGTTTTGGCACCCCTTGGGGAGCTTCCTGTGGTACATCAGTTCCTGCCCCAGTGAGGGACTGTGGTGCACTCTGCTGACAGAGATTTTGTCCCTCAGCTTCCCCCAGGCCTCTTTTTGCAGAAGGAATGATCTAGACCCAGGTAATGTTTCAGATCTCATGCCTTGGTGAAGAAAAACCAAAGTCCTGCTTTGACTAATAAGTCATATGAAGAGATAACTCACTGTCTGTTTCAGAAGCAGGGTTTGGGCAAGCTGTTCTTCACAGAGGCTAGACTGCACTAAAGGGATTCAATCAATACTGCATCCACAGTAATAGGTTATGTGCATTAAACCACATTAATTTTATATGACAAATTACACTGTATACTACCCCATAAATTCATATTCCCAAATCAAGTACATGGATAATTACATGAAAGAACCTACAGTATGAATGTTGTCCAGCTTCATGTGGAAGGACATTCTGCTTCACAGTGGGTTTGCAATCTGTCAGGACTCAGGTTGGCTCTGAAGTTGCTAGTTACTTAATGGACTTTAACATTTGGGAAGGCAGGAACTGCAGCAGGAGATGACAGCACAAAGTTTGGCAGACAGGAAAATGAAACTCTAGACTCAAAAATAAAGTAAAAATGGGATATACTAATGATTATACTTTGTTAATTTGAAGTTGTCTCTTGGAAATACACCCTGAAAAGACTCAACCCTTTTCAGCATCTACAGCTTGTCACCCAGAGAAGGTGGAATCCAAGACTTTCACCATTAGATAAATAAGCATGGCTTTTTTACTGCCTTTTATAACTCAGAGGGAGTTTGGAACAACTCTTCAGGCACACCTTACTGAACACAGCAAAATGATAGAGAAAAAAGGTCACAAATCAGTGCTGGGAAAAGTAAAGCTGCTTCAGAGCACATGGGTTTGCGTGCTTTGCTGAGGAAACACCTCCTGCACAGACACTTGACTGAACCTCAAATCCCCTAACTTGGGAAAAAAAATGTTGAATTGCATGGTTAGTGCTGTATACAACCTAAACCACTGGTCTCTGCCGAGAATACATTTGGAACACTCATCTATTCTGCTTCTATTCACCAAGAAAATTACTTGTTCAAACAAAACTGTTTGGTTCACTGGATAGTGATGGAATTACTCCAGATGGATATCTGTGCAGCAGGCAGCAGAATGCACTACTTTTTAAAAAAATGCAATGCAAAATAGCTGGCAAGTGTCATGCACAAAGGCTATGAAAACACTGATTCAGGCAATCTCTTTGTTTTTTAAAAATTGCTTTGGAAGACCAACAACACAAGCAAGCACAAGGCAGCCAAACCCTTCTTGCCCCAGTGTCTTGCTGCCCTGGGAGGAAAGCCTGAGTATCTCTACCAGAGCCTCCCAGCACTGGTGGGCAGCCTTTCCTGCCCTCCTGATCGCAAGGTCTTATTTTGCTAAAAGCAGGCACCAGGGGAGAGGAAAGGAAAAGGATGGGCATAATTAAAGCTCTCTAGAATTTAACTGCATTACCAGAACCCTTGTGGATATATAGCAGTGTACTCTAAGAGCAAATAACACATCAGAGGCTGAG